TGTTTTTCAGACATCCTCTCTGTCAGATGGCCATTGACTGCTGACGCTCATGTCCAAAGGCTGTGTGGACGCAAATGGGATTTATGGATGTAAACATGGGCTGACGGAGTGCATGCTTTGAAACACTTGATTTTCTTTTTCTGGCACATTAATGGGTTCAGTCATGGTATATCACTTAACATACTCTGTTCAGTTAGCATGTGTGAATTATTTAAAGTTTCAGTTCCTAATGTGGTCCAGATGGAACAATTGGCTTGACTAATGAGACGCTGTGCTGAAGAGCTAACCAAGGAATGGATATCGCCTGCCGCCTTTCATGCAAGAGCTTTAAACTAAGATTATCTTATCGTGAGAAAGAACTAATTTAGTCAAAACTTTCAAATAGGTTTTGCGTGAACTCGTGCAATATTGCCAGACCTTGCGCTCAGATCGTGTGTTGATGATGACTCTCAGCTACAACCTCACCAGGTTGTAGCTCAATATTTGTACATTTTTGGGGAGGGGTGGCACAGACGTTGTGTGGTCGGAAGGTTGCCGGTTTGATTTCCTGGACCCACAACATTGAAATGCGGCTAAGAAAGGTGAAGCACCCACACCTGCCTCCACCTTCGTTTGTCCCACCCTGGGTCCTTGAGCAAGGCCCTTAACCCCCACCAACTGCTCCCCCGAGCACCCTAGTGTCACGTTCCGGTGGTTTGACGTCGAACCCAACTGCAGGCAGACCACAGAGATGCTGATAATTATAATAATAAATAATTTATTAATAAAAGCAAAAGGCTGACGGGGCAGCAAACTTACTTGATGCTGAGAACACGGACAATCGCTAAGTCTTTGTGCGAGTTATTTAGCTGTGGTGACCCGTGAAGAAGGGAGCAGCCGAAAGAAGAGAAAAGAAATTGTAAATTTTTGGCTAATGTCAATATTCTGTGGTGGCCATCTTGAATTGGATTGATTCTAAAAGTTATCGGAATCGGCCTTTATTGTCATTGCACAGAAGCACAACAAAATTTAATTTCAATACAGCCGTCCAGAGAAACAACAAGACAACCAAACAACATAAGGCATGGGTAGACGGGTGCCTGAGGCTGCAGCCTCATGGGAGGCGCTGCCCTTTCATTAGATAAGGATGAGAAACACGAGGAAAGAGGGGCTGAATAAAAATCATACCTCACACTGTGTCCCTAACAGGTCACAGTGTGAGGTTGCAAAAAACCCTCAGCACAAAAGAACAACATGACACTACTGGTGGATATTTAGCTATGAATGCACTTTCTGATAGTTTTGTTAAAACTTTTCTGGTCATCATCACAGACAACATTACACACACACACACACACATGGGCAAACACATTATTGTTCTTTTGTCTGGCAAAAAGTGGCAGGAGATAACCTAGTGTAAAAGTAGGCTTGTGTATGTCACACACTACATTTATCTGAAATAAAATATTTTGGTTTTATCAGTTAACCGCGCTTCGTGGAGCCATTCTGGAGGATGCCATTCCATCCACAGCGAGACACGGAATGGCTCGTGGGCTGCCGCTGAAGGAGGTGCTGGAATACGTCATCCCTGAGCTGAACATCCAGTGTCTGAGGCTGGCCATCAACTCTCCCAAAGTCCCAGAGCAGCTCCTCAAAGTGGACGAACAAGGGGTGAGTACACGTGTCCTATTGTGGTCGGGCTCTTGGTCTTCGATAAATATTTAGATGTTTTGGAAGAGTTGACTCATGTGCTAATCTCTTTCCGTCCTGACAATGACTCAGTGTGGAGCTCTGCACTACAACAAAGACCAATCATCCCTAAACTTTGATAGTGTTGGTAATAGGGTTGGGTGGTTGGACCAGTATGTTTCCATTATAGATCGAATCATCTACATGTTATGATACACTCTGATCCAGCTCATCCATATCCAGCAACACCATCCCAAACTTTCGTTCAGGTCTTCCACACATGCTGTGGTTTTGTCTGTAATTTGTTTAACTTAGCTTCAAAAATAATTGAATCATAATCAAAATGACAGGATACAGTTAAAAAGAAACCTATGCCAAGAGAAATGCAGATTTGTTCTAAAAAATGTCACAGGAGTGTAGTGAACTTAACCTGATGTCAAGACTAAGCCTAAGGTCAAAACTCTTGACCTTAAGAACCTTGTGGGACAGGAACTGTCATTTCATTGATTTGAATCCAGAAATACAGGTTCACCCATCCTGAGACTTTCTTTCTTGAAAATTCAAGTGGAAGAACACCCTCTGTTCTATTATCATTACTATTTTACAAATGTTGATAATCAAAGTGCCTTAGTTCAAACCATTTTAGATGTTGCAGTGAACTAATCAATTTTATTAACTGTGTAATGATTTTTAATTCTCATGCAAAGTTAGAACTCATGTTAAAGCTGTTACAGAGTAATTATGCATTTTCTGATTTCTGTCTTTGAATGAGCAAGTGTGCGTTCCAGGGTCAGGAGTCGAAGCAGACATGCGTTGGAACAACTGTCTTGTTTATAACCTCTCAGACGTCAACAGGGGGGTTTTGGCACCTGTTTCTAAAACTCGCCAAAACAAAACACTCTCTGTCTGTGAGAACATTTCTGATCTGTTCCATAACAATTCTTGCTGTCTTCTAACCTCTTACGTCACAAAACACACCCCCGTCTGGTCGATTCTGACCAATGGGAAGATTCCCGAATGAACCAGGAAAAGAGCTCTTTAAAATGTCGGTACTTCCTGGTCTACTGAGTTCTGTCGAGTTCTGTTCAGTTCTGTGGGTCGGAGAAGTTCGGTTGCGCGGACAGTTCTGATATGTCCTAGCGCTGTGCAGTAGCTGAAGGAGCCGGGAAGACCCTGACATGACCACAGAGGTCTTCCGAGTTTCATGGGATTATAACATTTTCCACTGAGGTGAGCTTGTGTCGGACAGAATCTCGCCGCTACTCCGGACGAGTAACAGCATCCTACGGAGACGCTGAAAGGGTGCGTTAAACGGAATCTCGCCTGAGACATCTCCAGGTAAAAGAGTCGATTTCACCACCTAAGTGTACTGTAAGGAAGAAGCTGAAGAAAGCCCGGAGAGTGCCGTTCTGTTTAACACTCTCCCTCAAACACCATCCTTACTCCCTTTAACTTCCTTCCCATCTTTAAATTCTTCTCTCAAGTAGAAATTCTTCCAGATATTTTAGAAATGTCTGTGTAAAGTGCTCATCCACCGCCGTGTGGATAAAAAGATCATAATTGTACAGTTTTCATAAATGTCTGTGGTGAAGCAACGGAAAAATCATGGCTGTATGATTTTTCCTGATTGATTGCTTTTGTTGTTATTTTCATAATTTGCCAAATTACTGTAAATGTTTGATGTTAAACTTTGATTCTGTAAATAAATGACCGCATTCATTTTGATGGGTCAAAGATAAATGACGTCTCACGTTTGCATTTCCTTAAAATTCAATGCACGTTTTATTCAGTCCAGAAAAATGAGGAATCCGTGTTAATTGATGAATATATCTGAGCATCTGTTCATCTACAGGAGTCTCTGCCTACTGGAACAACTAAGCAAAATGGCTTCTGCTTCATATTCAGCTTAAGCATGAGCTCCCAGACAAATTAAATATTACACTTGTTTTATTTATACAATCAATGAAATGCTGTGGCAGTTTCCTCTTGTTCCCTGCGGAGCTCACGCCTGTCATTTCAGGCACCGCGTGTGAAGAGGCTTGATGCAGTTTCTTAGGCTGCTTGCTTTGTTCAATGTAATTTTTCACCACTGCAAAAAGGAAAACGACGCAAGTTGAGATTCCTTACTGAACTGGATGGTTGGATGATACAGTAGATGGATACAGTAACTGGATAGATGGATATAGATACAGTAGATAGAGTAGATGATGATACAGTAGCTGATAGATTCAGTAGATGATAGATTCAGTAGATACAGTGGATGATAGATTCAGTAG